AATGATTACAGTTTATTCGGAAATTTATTATACGAATTAATTGGATAACAGGATTAACGAGATGACTTTCTTAACATGGCTTTTAATTATACACTCGTGAAATACATTAGTTGTCCTTTATCGGGCGATTTTCCAGCAGCCCACGGCAGCTGGGGTTCCGCTAATCACGCAATGTATATTACAGAAGACTTTTTGCATTCAAAACACTTTCTCTGGTGAAAAAAACATCTGCAAATCTTACATTTTTAATGATTGTACAACTCGTTTAGTTTCAATTTTATTAACTTTACCACTAATTTTGTCATCCTTTTTTACTCTATTTTGACTTCTCCAAAATGTTACCAAAACTTAAATGCATTTTTTCACACTCTGCTAAATTGCTTTCACTCAGTTTGTAGCTTTTTCGACTTTCTTTTTGTTCTCACAAGCAAATTGGCAAGATGCAAGATGAGTCGTTGAATTAAATGTCGGATGAAAACCTTCTTGCAGCACCTCAATAAGCTTCATCTGTTTGCAATCAGCCAGCCCCCAATTTTCTGTAGGCATAAATATTTTGCTTTCATTTTGCAATTTTTTCACTTTTTTTTAAGCAAATAAAAAGTGTATGTGAAAAATAAAACTGAACTAATAAGAAAAACTTGCAAGCTCGTACCTACTTCCTTAGTTAGGTTAATAATGGGATTTTAGATGGAGATGTTCGAATATAAATAAACCGCCTTGAATAATAATATTTACACTATGCCTAAACTGTGATCAATTTAAAATATGAATAATTGGTTCTTTTATATTTGTCCAGCACACGTGCATAAGCCGAAGTTCGTTTCTCTATTGCGAGTGAAGGTCTATGAATATGCATGGAACAGTGTTGAAACGTGCTTTTAATTCGCAGTCACTAGTTTTGGATGCCAATAATTTTTGCTCAGGTTGTTCAGTTTATGCTAAATTTGCTCATTAAATAATGTGCTTATTCTCGCCTTAATCTGTTTAAACTGGCCACGTAGAATAGCTAATAATATAAACAAATGTGTTTTGCATATAAATAATCCGAAGATCCATCAAGGAAATCGCTCAGAAAAAAAGCGGCTAAAGTGTGCCAATATATCAAATAGCTTTTCGGTATAATGGCAACCACCTATTTAAAAAGGTAAAAAACCATTACTTAATATTGATTTTTGTCCTATGGAGATTTGATGGTTCCATTCAAATCAACAATTTAGGTCATTTTATTTTTGCGTGATCGGCTCAGCATGCTGATTCAGATTGCATTTAAGGATGTAAGGTATGTCGAATAGCGCGAAGAAAGGCGAGGGCACTGAATGGACACCCCCGTATATAACGGTACTAAAAAGAAATCGAATAAAACTTGTATAGAACTGTATCCGATTTGAGTAATCCCAAGTATTGTTTATTAAATATTAATAACCACTTGCCCTAATCCTCAACTTATAAATCAAAAATTTTAATGTTTCTGGGATAGAACTGTGATAATTATTCCATTGATAATTTTGAAGTCCTTGTTGTCACTTTTGAATGGCCGTTTCTTGGCTGTGTTCCAAAAAAACACAAAAATATTTGCAAGCTTGTCATTGATTTTGTGTGGGTTTCGACATGTAGTTTCTGGAACCATAATTTTATCACTTGTTAAATGAACATTTTACAGTTTCCTTTCATAACTCTAATCGCAATAGTTTGGGAAGTTTGCGTGCTGTTTTTTTCCTGAAATAGTTCAGGCTGTCTATAGTTTCGTTTTCGTCGTCTTCATTCTCAATCATCGTACCAATATAGAGTTAAATTTTGAATTCCTAACAGATGATATATTCTATTCTCCTTGACATCTTTATTGGCAAGCAAGGTTTATATTCGTAGCTAATGTGCTGTTCTTTGGTCAGTGTTGATTTCTCATTTATAAAGTAGACTGGAAAAATGTTGCAACAAATATAATTTAAATTAGAGTAAAAGTATACTCCTATCTTTCCTGGGTTTCAGTCAAAGTGTGAAGTAAAAATTTTGAAACATCGTCTATTTCATTACGTTTCGGGAGACAACCACGCCATCATCAGATTTAAAATTTTACACAAACTCATCATTGGTAAAAATTAACGTCATTTTAGGTCTTTGCCTTCTTGAAAATCCTGAGTTTGTAATTTGAGACAAACTCAGGGTTTTTAAAAAGAACAAAAACGGAACAATTCATTAGCTTCTCTGTAAACACTTCAGCAGACATACAAACTAAAAAGTTGCCTTTTGGGAGGAATACAGTCAAATAAATTGAAGCGATGAACGTGTGAAAAATTACCATTCTCAACAGTACTTGCATTTTTCTAGGTGTTCGTACACAAGTATCTGGCAATAAAATAAAATTAGATACGCATACACTACTGAGTCGCAAAGACGCTTTGAATAGTCATAAATGGATGACATAAACATCAAGCATTTACCATAACAATTATCAAGATCTTGTAAAATTAGAAACTAGTATTGAACATGTGGACAGATGCTTTAACGTAACCTATTAAAATAATTAAAAATACTTCAATGTTAATTCTTTCATTTTCGTACGCCCATGGCTAATAGTGGACTGGTTAATATGCATATAGGATGTAATTACTTTAATGTGCTTTTTAAGGCTGTTTTTGTTTTTGATGACATAATAGCTTTTTTTTGCTATATCAACGCCAATTGTTCTAATTGAGACAATCTGTAATTATTATATTCGTATTTGTTGACGCCTTGATACGAGTTAATATTTTATGTATTAGCACATTCTCATTTAACATTATTCAAGACATGAATAAGGGAAGCTGACGAAATAATATTGCAAATTCGTCTGCAAAAAAAGGTACACACACACTAAGCAACGAAAATTAATAGGAGCGAAATGGTTCCTTTTTCAGGTAGAAACGTATGTTCAGCGTAAAGATGTGTTGGTTAAATTCCCAGAATCAAAGTCAATAGCGACCCTAATAAATCTCAATGGAGGTCCGCCAAAAGATTTTTTATTGTGTCAATGTTTTTGAAAGAGTGCAAAAAGTATCAGTTTTGTACCTGCTTTCAACTCAAATAAGTTCAGACTAAATCGATTTTAATTGACCGTTTCCATCTAATACTGTTGAGCTTAATGAGTTAAGCGTTTTGTTTGCATATTAAATATAAGAAGTAGCTCTTTAAATGTTAAGAAATGTAAATAATGATACTACAGAATCCGTTCGATTCAAAATAGGCGAAAAATTCAAATATCAGGATCAAATCCAGGGTTTGGGACAAGAATGTCAAAAATTACCTGGATAGTAACCGTATTCTTTGGCAATGCTCTTGTCATTAATGCAATTTAGTAAGCAATTCAGACAAATCGTAAAAAATTGAAAAACCAGTTTTTCGATTTTATAAACGTAGAAAACGGCAATGTCGCTAATTTATTGCAATAGACGGCAAGATATATATATATCTCAGACTAGATGTTTTCACCATCTAATATTTGCTACCATTAAAGTCTGAACAGCTAAAGAAGTTTTAAAATTGTCAGGCATAAAGACCGAAATTGAGCTGTATCTAAGTATTTGAAACATATTTGTAACAGCTGGATTAAATAACTCTTTGCGGCGAGAACTCATTCTTCTAGATATGTTGAAATTTGAAACTGATGACAACACGATACGAGAAATGACTTAATGATCAATGATCAAGATTAATGGGAAAATTAGGCGAAAGAAGAGAATTTTACACACGCACTTTACCAGCAATTGCAAAAGAAAATGCAAAACTAATCTAGTATTTTTGCTTGACTAAAAATTATAAAATCTAGCCCAGGCTACATTGAAGGACCATATTTGTACGGCCCTTTAATTTTATTTACTTAGACAGTAAATGTACAAAATTGAAATCTAATGCGAAATAATTTGTCAACTACTTTTAAATGCTCGATTTTTAATAACTATAATTTATTTCACCTATCAAACGATCCTGGTGCCGTACTAAAATAATCTTTCCTACTGGGCAGTACTTATAATTTCCGACAAGTTTCTAATTAGTAGTCTTTTACTATCACTGCTATTTGCAGTTGCAACTAGCAAGCACTTAATATTATTAATAGCTACTATATTAACAGCTTTTCTCCGTAAATTAAGAAGCATTATAAACAAGGAATAATGTAATTACAGCTAAAGTAACGCCAATTATCTAATAGAAGATACGGATACGAAGCGAATACATTTCTCAGTAAATTATTGGCCTTTTGATAAAAATAAAATATAATTCTATGCCTAAATGACATAAATTGCCTACAAAAAAGTTCTGCTGAACAAAATAAATTTTCAATCAAACAAGTTTTTTGTAATGAAGTGTGCATGTAATTAATTAAGGCCAAGTACTTTTGACAACGGGCCTGATGATGACGTGAATGTCGGAAGTACTTGGCCTTAATTAATTACATACACGCATTATTACAAAACAGTTATTTGATTGATTTTTATCCAGTGTGTACACACCAACTTCTTGTTGATACGTCTTCCGATACGATGTTAATAACCATGATTTATTTATAAAAGTAAAAACATTTTTATATTCCAGAAGATCTGTGTGTGAGAAGAAGAGACATTATTAACTTCTAAGCTTTCTTCATTAATTTTTAATAGATGTAATAAATGTTTACCACCTAACCCGTTTTTGCATCTAATTGACTAACATCTAAAATACGTTAATATCTACAACTTCTGTATGGAAAATTTTCCTTTATACCTTAAAATGGTAAATGGGGTGACCAAAGTTCAATCAACAACCCTGGAACATATCTATATATTCATTACAAACTTGTTTGCCAAATGAATCAATTCTCAGGCTGGAAAATAATCCTTGAAATTGGAGCCAGTGTTCGATTTATGCAACTTTCATAGTCATTCGTTATCAATCTTGCAGAAAATCCAATTAAAAAATTATTGTTGGAATAGAAATCAATTTTCGTTCTATTTCTTCCGCATGGGTAAACAATTAATAAAATAATAAGGTACAAGTTTATGGAGCAGTTAAAATCTTTATTGCTTTGTCCGGTATACATATGCCAAAGTGTCCGACATCCTATAAAATTAATTGTCTGTTTACTGAAGGAAAACATTATTAAATCGACAAATGTTTGCGACAATGTTGGTCATACACTAAGGCCTGTGAGTATTGCTTGCATACAGTTAAATATGTATAATTAAATCACTATTATTTTAATACTTAACGCGCCTATAGAAGTAGAGAGTTGCCTAAGTAGGAATAATCGATTAACTTTTGGCGTTGATTTGAACATAAGCATTAACTTGATCGGTTGTTCAGCGGTTGGTGGTTACATCCTGAACATCATAGTAAGTTACCGAGGCTCCTTTATCTTTTAGAAGTAACCCTAGTTTCTGTTAGAAAATGTATTCCACCGTTGTAAACCAGCAAGGGGCTTTGCAATCCTACAAAAAAAACATTTAGTATTTGAACTTACGAGGAAAGTTTAGAAGGGAGGTAACTATGAAGGCTTTCCAAATTAACTTAAAACAAAAACTGTTCATATCAACTAAGCTTTTGTTTAGCACTAGCCGCACAGATATTCGTTGTTTAGTTTTGGGTCCTAAATTTGAAGTAGGTAGTAGCAGTAACCAACTGAATAATGTAACATTGTACTTATGTGTAATTTATTTTCCACCTCACACAATTTAAACACAATGAGTCGTAAAATTCACAATCTTTAACTCTTCATGAGCTTTAGTTTCGAATTCTCACAAATACCCCCTAAAGGTTTCATTTCCTTATGCACTTAAGGACAACACCTTTTAAATAAAATAAAAATAATAACAATTTTAGTTATAGTGCAATTGGTACGAGCTCCTGACTCAATGTTAGAGATAGTTGTCTTACAAAGTCGCTAGTTTCGATGAAAAGTGAATCCCTGCACGCATTACTTCTCGTGTAGCAGCATAAGTTTAGTGTAAAACTTATCTCTGAGTAATAGCATGATTAACTGAATCAATTTGGACATCGATGTTCGCATTGGTAGTTGATCTACTGCAATCGTTTAAATGTGATGTTGACCGATAAGAACCCTCCGTCACTGACCATGTACTCGGGATTCCCATTCTACGAAAATAACAGTGACCTCACTGTCTCGGCAGTTGACATCAATTTCAGTAGAAAATAAATAAAACTCCAGCGTAACAAACACTACGCAACGTAACGTACGAATGCTCGACACCCACCGTTTTTAGCCAGGTCGTGGCAAACATGATCATGAATTAATTTTGTTTAGAATAATTATGTAGAAAGGGACTTGCGTCTCTCGCTTTGCTAACTTTAAGAAGTAATTACGCTGATAAATCAATTTTTTTTCCAAATAATGAGTTGACAATCAATGAGAGAAAAATTTATTTTAAAAATTACAAAAGTGTTTGTAAACAAAACTAGTGAATACTCCCTCTATCGTGGTCATGTGCTGACTGACTCTTATCTTAACAAGTCGTAAACGACAGCGAAAGCCAAACAGATTGGTATTTCCAGAAATTTGGTATTCGATTGTTCAAAAACTTTGTTTTGAGTTCTTGTGTGTTCCTGTTTCTTCCACCACATCCCAACATGATTAAAAGGTCTTTCTCGAAAACTGCTGAGTTTAGGCATAGGGTTTCTCATATAGAAAATATAAACAATTTTGTAGATCAATTTGACTAAAAAATTACATGTATTTTCTGCTGCGACCCTGCATATTCTTCCCCCTTGTTTAAATATTTTACATCCGTACTTGTTGACTAAAAAACAAATCTTTATTAATTCATGCCGAATTTTTATCACTCTGTTCAAAGTACAGTTTTGGAAAATTATATGCGCTCTTTATTGTTATAAGGTAGCATTTACATGCTACGAAACATGTTGATATGTACAAATGTCTAAAATTTATAGAAAATAGTTGTACATAGTTGTGCTATTCAACATCCAAAGACAAATGTGCTTTTCAAGTCCTTCGTTTAATATCCCGGGCAATATCTTTGCAGGTGGGCAGTACGAAACGAAACTATTTAAAGGTCCTACCGGTTGCCGAACCTTGGCCCCTGTTGTTACTTCTTCCTATGGGTTTCAAGGCTCTGAAGTTTCCCGATTTTCGACAGTTTTGTCCGCATCTAATGATCTGAATTAAGTCCAACTTTTGCAAAAGCTAATAAGTAAACCAAATGTTTATAAATCAGCATCCCGAACTAACTCTGGTTTGAAGCGCAATTTGGTGATGTTCTAATAAATGCCTCCGAATGCCTGAAGCTTTTCAAAAATTTAAAGTTTCTACCCCATAAAGCAAATTATATTAAAGGTAGGTACGTGAGCCACCCCACTTTTGTTGTAAAAGAATATCTCACGGCAGTGTGGAACTGAAAAAGGGAAAATGCCCATTATACAGTCAACCGTGAAAGCTACGATACTTGCATGTCATGACAACACGCACTTCTTCCTTTACCTACCTCAATTTGAAGTTAAGATTAATGGCGCCGTTTGTTCTAGATGTGCTTTAGGCCGTTTCCGACTTGGTACAAACTTAAACCGGGGACTTAATGCAGAGTTTATTCCTAAACACAGTCAAACAAAACTTGAATTAAATCGACGAAGTGGAGAACTCGAACGCAAAGCGCATTTTACTAGCCATCTTGTTTAGGATGGCAAGGGTCGTCATAAAAATTGAACGACCAAAACTGCTCCGTCGAAGAACATCTGGCATTTGAATACGATATTGTTTTTGCAATTTGGTTGCCACCTGATCGGGACATTACAAGACATTAAAGTGCTCCAATTGCAAGTCAAATTCTTGGTTCCATAGCAGAATCTCTGATAATATTTTAATGTGTTCCGGTATTGTATGCTTCCAATAGAGCCAATATTGCAACGCGATCGTTTATTTCCACGGTAGAATTTCAGCTTAATCACAATTAGGAAATGGATCTATTTACTGCAATCTATTAACATGAGTTGGCTGGATACCTTTGCACATCATGTAATAATAATGCACGTCAAGCATACATTAGCAATAATTGACCATCACACTACGAATCTGTTCTAATGGTGTTCCAAATCATAGACACTGTTTTAGAATAATTGACCAATTGTTTGAAATAATTAACTTTTAATGTGTATATATGGCTTCTGGGTTGAGCTTATCCGACTTTTTGCCTGCCACAAGTCAAAGCGCTTCAAAGACATTGCGGTTTTGAACGAATTGTTAACGTGTCTGCTAACCTATTGGCCAATTAGATAGCTGTAAGCAATAAATGTGGATAATACCATATATATTTAGTAAACAAAATTTGTCAGATTAAGGTTTCTAATATTTTTGGTACTATTTATATTTTAATGTTTAAATATTTGTATCTGGCTCCCAAATATCAGCAGTCTTTGTCATGGTTTTGTCTGGCAACGTAGTGGTTGCTCCACCTTTGCGGGCCACAGTTTTTGAATGGGCAGGACGCAATATCGATCCAGGAAGGTGAACCAATGAAGCTGGTTCCTGGTTCCCGACGAATTGTGAGGTGGATGGCCAGGGACAGTCTGGATGAGACTGGAGTGAGAGTGGAGTGGCACGTGGAGCGGAAATTGGTAGCACGAGGAGTCGGCGATTTTGGTAGCGACGTAGAGTTGATATTTGAGCAAGCAAGAACAGAGCCATTTATTCGATTTCCTTGTATTAGATTCATCTCATGTCACTTTAATTACTTTCATTTCATTAATTAGATATGCTATGTATTTACGCCTTTAATTTAAATCCATTTTCTTCTTTCTTTTTGTAAAATTTCAATAACTGTATTATCGCCATTTTTTAAAATTCATTTCATTAATTAGATAGCGTTAATTCATTAACGCTGAATTTTATTTTTCCTTGTCTCTGAAATTTGTGGTGTTGCCCGAACTAGCCCGGAACCACGCTTCACAAAAGGAAACATCAGTCATACAAGGTTTAATTATTTGATAATTAACTTTTGATATGTTCATTCAGTGAAGATTTCTCTGTTAATGGCCTATTATATTTGTGACATTTTATGCACAGCGAGAGCTACTGAATCTCTTCTCTTCAATACGGTTTTCTCGATTGTGTTCAAACACAAAGAGACAATTGCCCTTTTTACAAAGGAACAGTTTGCATTTTTGGAAAGCGAATAGATTTTCGGAGAAAACCGGCCCAGTGCGTCTTTATATTCTAGTTCAAAGATGTATTCGTTTGAAAGATACATTGAAAATCTATAATAAGCCGAAAAAACATACGAAGGAGTATTGAGAATTCATATACTTTTTCAAACGCTCCCAAAAAATTCTGGGGTTTAAATTTATACCTTCTAATGGTGCTTTCTGAATCTTTTAAAGAAAAAGTATTGCATTAATATTATAAATTGAATAGTGATAGAACACTAGAGAAGAACTACTTTAACACCCATATATCAGCCAAATTGATTGCTTCTATATTCTGCAAGTTATCGAAGTTTGATCCCTAAGAATTATATCTTGAAAATTTTGTTCAAAAAAAACGGAAGAACGATTATATAGATTTTAAAACCTACGAATTTATTTTTATGTAAGACTCATATTTTGATTAAGCAACCAAGTTCATCAGCTATGAATTCGTGGTGAATTCTTGAGGATTTTGGCACAAAAACTGCAAGAAGTTTTTTTGTCATCGCTCGAATTAGCTGTTTTTTTCCAATTGAAGCACCAAAGCTTTTAGCACTTTTGTCTTTTTAGAAAATCGGTTTCTTTCAGACTAGAAGTGGTGCAATAGAGTGCACAGCAAGGTGACCAAATCTGACGCATCCGGACTTTTCCGTAAAAAAGTGGTTTACCAAACCGCACCTAATGTATGCAAGAACAGAAAAATCGAATATCGCAAAAATGTAGACAAATGCCATTCAAAGCTTTAAGAAAAAGTCTAACTAGTAAAGTGAGACATTACAAAAAGTGGCTTGCTGTACCTGAAAGCAATCATATTCTGACAAAATAAGTAATCGATATAATATGATATTAATGGCTCAAAGACGCAAGAAGATATTAAAATAAGATCAAGAGTTTGTCACGCATAGCAGAAAGAAGTGCGCCACTATTTTGAAAAAACCGCTATATAAAATTCTCAAGAAACGAAATAAGAACCTGCATATGCGAGAAGCATAAATGCCATCAAAGGAAAACTACTACCCTGGTAGCCATCTACTTCTACAAAATAAACTGCCGTCCCTATCCAGACAGATGGAAATCCCTAAAATTCCGTTTTTTTCTCTAAAATTCAACGCCAAATAGTGGCTTAAATTTAAAAGAAATCCCAGAGCAAGCAAGTCATAATCTTTGATCTGGACCACTTGCAGCCTACAAAAAGAGCAGGAATAATCGGACGGAGATCCTGGCCGTTGAAAGTCCCTAGCACGAATCATTTGGCAAAAATAATTTGTTCTGTGTGTGAAATTTGAAAAAACAGCACACAATCTAAACTATTAGGTCAGGATTATTTGTAGCCTTTTAAGACGTTATGCGCTAGACCATCACCTAGTCTAGATTATGGAGGATTATGAGCTTTCGAAGCAGGAAGACTTGAAATTTACAGCAGCAAAACACTCATATTTTACATATTTAAAACAGTCTACTGTGAAAAAGCTGATCATTTAGTGTTGAAAACCTGAGCAATACCTACTGAGAATTGAACCATTCGACTAGAGTATAATTCACATCAGAAAAACGTCAGTAATTGATACAAAATACCTTACACGATGATAAGAAGTATCGACGATAAAAAGAACGACACTGATTGTACATTTAGATTATAAAAGCTCGGATGAAAACAGTAACCTCGAGCGAATGTATAAAATCTCACTTAAAATTATTTCGACAAAATTTGGAAACCCGATCCAGACCCAGGAAATCCCTCGTCGCTCCTCGTCGAATAAATATTAAATGTAACAATATGATAAAATACAAGTAGACAAGATGGAACTAAAACTTCTACAACTATATGGCAACCAGGGGCAAAGTAATGCCAAACTTACCGAAAGCTGCATCGTGCCACCTGGAATGGAAAAGAAGAAGAAAATGTGTTTAGTACACCAGGCAATCTGTTCAAAGCCATTGTTATAGGAAATCAGGAAAGCAGTCAATACGAAATGTAAATAAAAAAATCTTCAACTCCAGTTACTTTTCCGAAAACTAATCTCAGTTCAAGCTAATAAATTTAAAGACTAGAAATCACTCTTACCAGCTTTCTCCAAGCTGGCGCCACATCTTCCATTTTTGGCCCATTAATTGATCCGTGAAGGTTCACAGTCGATTCTGTATTTTCCATCTAGGACACGATTCACAAGGCACAAAGACAACTTTTTGAAAACATTAACGCAAAATTGAAACTTTTGCCGTATTCCGAAGGCAACACGATGATGTAACCATTTGCTTTATCGCCCTTTGGATGATTAATTGCTTTACTCCGCAGTCTTTTTTATTGTCGAGAACTTTGTAGCAAGTTCACAGTGCAATATTTCAATATCAATTTAAGGAATTCACCTTCCAACTCGTTCGGATGATCGGCGTACATAAAACGGCCAAAGATAAACAAATCGCCACGAGCGCATTAGACGATTTTATCGTAAACAAAATGCTCCACAAAATTGATTTATTGAAGCTGATAAATAATCAAAGTAGCGCTTAAAATTGCTAGTTCGTTTTGCCTAATTAGGTATTATTTGTTGTCTTTTGATCCAACTGTTGACTATTGTTGATATTATTTTATAACTGCGAGTGTCAACAGCAACTTAAATAAAGCGTGTTTTTTTAGAGGTACAGAACTTAACGGTTAACGTGGCTTTATTGAAAGGGTACTTTTATACCAATAGGTATCTATAGCTTAACTATGATATGGGGTATAATGCGCCGCGGCTGGCTCGAATGAAGAGAAATCTGGTCGAATTTTCAACCACTACCAAACGTCTGCCAGACCATAAAGCACAAAAAACTGTGAGTTTGTCTGGATATAGCGAGGTCTCAATTATGGCTTCTGGATTTCCATCGCTCTAAATCCGGCAATTTTGTTTATGTACGCAACCATTATTGGTTGCGTAAAAAACTCACTATTTGATGTGCTTTTTATGGACTAGTGGAATCAGAATGGTCGTAAATTGGACTTTATTCGTGGATTGCTCTTCACTCGAGCCAGCCGCGTCCGCCCATATGCCCCAAATCATATTTAAGCTATAATAGCATAAAATTGAACTTTTAATAAAGCAAGTACCATTATCTTAACATGAATTTTATGAGTTTTATTTCAATTTAAAGTTCTAAACCTCTGAAAAAACACCCTTTACAAATTTAACGAAAGTGGGATATAGTTTGAACAGAAATTGAGACTATTGAACACAAAATTCCAATGACCGTTTATAAGTACTTCCATCGTTCCAGTGTAAGCTGGAGTTGTGCAATGGAAAATGTGCAATTTCAAAACTACAAAAAATTACTTTATCAACTCGGCAGGCAATGAAAAATGGGCAATAAAAATATATAATTTTTGGAGCTGATCCTAAGGAGTTGAATTTGTGTTTTCTACAATGGAATTATCATGAGTTTATGAGTTGTTTGTGAATAATTCATTGTTAATGAGATTTCAAAATTTAAAAAATCATCAATTATTTGTGATCATATATATTTTTTTCTAAGCCCGTTTAATATAAGTATAGGTGTAGTAAAGCTAGAAATGAAAATTTGTTATGTTGCGGTTGTGCAAAAAGTAATTTTTTCACATTTGAAATGTGTGTCAGTTTATAGATATCGACAATGTCTTAAACTGATAAGTAAATAAATCTCCAATTAAAAGATCGCAAAACTTTGCATACAATTGTTGGGCGCAGCGCAACTAGTGGTTTTTCTAAATCAGGCAACTACCATCAAAGAGCACCCTCTAAAATTGGCAAAACATTTATATTTCTAAGTACCTACATTTGTTTTCATGAAGATCACCTTCAACAAGCCGAGGAAATCAGATTCTGATTTGCTTTTGTGTTATGTTATGGCCTGTTGGAATATTGAAGTTCGTTGTAGTTCCTCCCCTATTTAAGGGCTGCAAGTGGTTTGCAGTCTCTCCTTTGTCGAATAGCGCAGGAGCCACGTCTCGTTGTTTTCATTATTTTCAATTCAAATGTTCATCGTCATGTGCCAATTTGTCTACCACTCTATATGTTCTTTAATAATTTCGAAAAACTAAAACAGAAATGCACATTTTTTTAACAAAGTAATTCTGAATGTTGAGAAATCCACCTCATAACCTGCTGGACTGAACTTGTAAGAACACATAATATACCTAAGAAGTCTAAATTAATCTAATAATTATGTTATTACATAAGATGAATTATAAATAATATTTTAACCAGACATATTTATGATGAAGCATTGACCTTTTTGGGTCCCTATAATCTGATAATAGCCATGGTTTGCCAGCTGATGTATTTTAATTAGCAGTTTTTAACCCTGCTCAACACCTGGTATGCATTATTAGCCATATATGTTTGTTCTCACAGAAAGACGTTCCAACTGAATCCACCATAAAATCTGATAAGGGTAAATTGTAACGGCAGCGCAAGTACAAAAATATTATTATGGCTGATGTGGTCTAGTTCACAACATTGGTACTAATACAATGCAAAACTTGGAATATTTTCAATACTTTCTTGGATGTGTTTGAATTTTATTGATTTAATCTAAATATTTTCATCGTACAACATGCAAACATATTTTCTCCAAGCAGTGTTCAGATATTATTGAAACCTTTATTTGTCTAACATTCCATTTTTAATTACGAGTTCATTTCTGTTGTCATCGTCAGCCAAAGCAACCAAATTTCAAAAATGCTTGTGCTAGTTACTATGCAGGCTTGAACCACCCTAATAATAATCAGAGCATTGCACTCAAAGAACATTTCCGAACTGACACTTTTTAATACGAATTTTTTATTTAATTTCAGATCAGTTATCGAAGTTCCTGAAGGGACGATTCTACAAGGGTACACAAAATGGGAACGACAACTGCACTCTCCATTGATGCCGAGATTATAGAAGGGCCATATTGGCATCTTTTTGTATAGGGCTTGATCAGAAAAGGTGGGTTCAATGTTCTATGTGGGAATATGAAACGTGTTTAATATGGAATTTATATCGCAGAGAGTTATAGGATTAAAATTTACTGCATAGTAGGTACTGTTTATGAACAGAGTGTACATTTTTTTACAGAATTGAAAGAATATATTTTAGAAGAATTTTAACAAAATTTAATTCAGTTCAAGGAATTCATCATCGGATTTGTGGTGTAATAAACTGATACCTAACTGTGTTCCTTGACTGTTCAAATTTGCCTTATTTGTCGCTGGCCGCTTAAACGAGTTTTGCAAATCACGTCTTGACCCAAAACGGAATTCAAAATATTTTAGTATTAAGGTACGAGCATTTCACGGAAAGAACGGCTTGAATTTACTTAATGTATTGGGATTTTGTGCTGAAGTTGTGTGAAGGCGTGTTAATAAAATTGATGTTTTTTAAAAGTTGTTCCAAAAAGTTTCGAACATATTAAATCAGAATAAACTGAATTGGGGATTTGATTATATGCAACTGCCTGAATTTCGGCTTGAATTCGGCAAAAACGGCAGTGAATATAATAACTAAATATATTCGATCAACATCGTTACTCCTTCCGGTATTTCAAATACCATTTGTTGATTAAGAAAATGTCATTGAAAAATTGGCTTTTGATGAGACAAACAAGACATTAGTTTTTTAAAGCAGACAGCATAATATTTTTGAAGCTAGACTTTGAACTGACTTTCCTATTTGTCGGGATATAAATTCTTGGATTTAATTCTGTGCTTTTATGATTTGTTTGTAAAATGGACTGCAAGCAGCCCCTAAATGGCAGCAGCAGATGGGAACAGATACTTTTACAGTAGTTTCGCAGATTTCACAATTTATTAGTAACTTTCAAGCGATAAAAACGCTTATGAAAAACCATTCAAGATTACTAAGCAACTTAGGTTTAAAAGGAATGGATGATTTAAAATGTTTAACGATTGGTATAATTGATAGTCATTTTCACAATTAAAAAATAGTAGTATGATGTAAGTAATGTTTACATGAAATAAGATAATCATTAAATTGACGCGTTTTGAAACTTGTAGTATCTAGTAAAATTATAAAATGAGACATAACAACGAATAAGTTATTGAATTGCTTGGAGAAGGAATTATAGCGGATTTCTATCAGTAGTCAAATAATATTAAATTTACCTGATTGTAAATTCATGTAGAGTCCTAAGTAATTTTCTTGCTGAATGTTAATAAGGCTCTGTTGGCTACTTGTAACTGCAACATTCAATATGCGTTATGAACTAAACCGGAAACAATTCATAAGTTCATGAGGGCCAGACAAAATAAAGAACAGCAAGTATGGAAAAGTGTTGTGAATTGATTATTTACATTACAGATATACAATGAGTCGTATAAATAATGTTTAAGTTTATTTCAAATTCAGCGATCTTTTTTTTGAAAAAAGCTCCGACTCGCCTATTTTTAGAGACTGGTTCTAATGGATTTGAAAATAAAGACTCATCTTGACTTGGAATCAAGTCAAGTAATTCTAAATATTCTCTTTTAGAGACTGTTCAAAGAAAAATGTTCCTATTATTCTTTAGCGCATCATTCCACAACAGACATTTCTTTTTTGGGGGTACCTACTGGCTGCCTTCATCATCCAATGCGAAATTTTCTGTTGCCCAATATCGACAATTTTGTCGGTTCACATGACTGCTCAGAACGTAGCTCCATCGCAAAAGATGATGTTTCTTACTAATTTATTATCCAGATTGCACATATTTTGCATGCTTTCGCTAAACTCATTTCGCATCTCAAAATCATGTTGAAATAATTCTTGCACTGGAGTAATTTGTATGCAGGATATTTGTGGTTTCGAACTATTCGATAGGTAACAGATTTCCATATGTGCAAATTGGCCCCAAGCTGCGAAAGAGGCGTACATTTTCATTTAAAGAAAGTAAAACCTCATTCATTTTCATATCGAGCAAAACGTTCTCAGAAAGAACTATTTTACATGACCAAAGTATCCGAATTAAGCTTCTATTCTATTCCCACCTTTTGTCATTTGGGAGGACAATTACGTGAATTTTAAATTAATTTTTACATTACTTATAGGATTTATTGTATTCATACACTAAAACTATTTTCATACTATAACGGATGCACCAATAATTAAATAGTAGCGCGCTGTTTAACCTCAAATTAATTTAGAGCTGTATTTTAGAAATGAGATTATACCTAGTTCCATAACAGTACAAACTTAAACACAAACATTTTGAGATTCTTTTGTATAATTAACCTCTTGTAACTGCAAAATAAAAATTGAATTGATGATCGTTTCAGATTAAGTCTATACCTATGTTGAATTAAAAAAAAAATCCTATTATAAATTGCACAACTAAAAACATTGTATGTATGTAGAATTAAACTGTTACACGGCTATGCAATTTTATGTTTTTGTTTTTTGTTCAAATCAGTTTTTAGTTCAATTTATAATTTTTGTCTTCCGTCCCATTATGTAGGGACTTCTATACTAATATTTGCAAAAACTGTAAACAAAATGTTACGAAAGTCTCAGCAAGAGAAATACATTTAAAAAAGCCTTGAAGATGGACTTCTGTGAGATTCAATTGATTGAGCCATGTAGGAAGCTAGTGCCACTAGTGTAACTGTAATTTGAACCCATGAGTCACTAGCGTCTGGCGGAAACATCAAGTTATGAAAATTGTTTTTTAGAATATGTAGTTTTGTCCAGGAAATTCAAGTATCTACTATAATGCAGCAAATTGAAGTATTACTGTCTTCGTGTTCTGTTGGACAAATCAATTTATAAAAACGTACAGTAACAGTTTAGTTTCAGTTACTTCTCTTTAGCAAATTCGAGTAGATATTTATAATGAAAAATATGGAACTTGTCCGAACCACTAAAAAATTTCTTAAAAAGTGCATAAAGGGGTAGTACTGTTTACGTTTGTCAATTAAACTGAATTATACTGTGATGATGCAAATTGAGGCAAACTGGTCTTTCAGAAGAAATTAAAAATTAAATAGAGAGGGCAGAAAGACCTATTGCGTCGAGAGCCTTTTTCTGTAGGAAGTAAAGATTATTTATATAAATTAAGAAGAATAAACTTAAATTCTGTTAGCTTTTGTTTACTAGTGCCACTTATCCACTAGTGAAAAATTAATTTGTAACTTTGTAATTCCTTCTATCGGAATTACGAAATGAGGCAAACATCCATCTGGCAATATTTTCAGCAACATTTGAAAAAACAATTTTATATTAAGTATAAAAACCTAAATTTAATCACTCAATGAAAAGTAGATAATTTGATTTGCGAAATTGCTTCATTAAAGACTCATCAACAATTTACAGTTTAGTGCCAATATATTTGAAATCAAAGACCTCATTATAAAAGATGTTTTCCATTACGAACGGTTTGTCAGCAGGCTGATTTGCTAAAATGAAAATCTCTTTTAGGAAATGACAAATCCTTGGAAAGGGCCTCGTCACCCCTCAAGAGGAAAATCGCAAGTCGGTCGACATGGAGCAACTCACCCCGCGCATCGAAAATCAGGGCGTGGGAAAATCGATGGAGGTTCAAGTGGAGAATCGGGGAGTGGAGCACGGAAGGGGGAGCTGGATCAGAGCAAGGGTGCCCCAGTCTCGTTCCTGCCCCTTCTTGTCATCGGAATGCGGTGCCGCTGTGAAAAAGTGAGATGTCGACAACTGGAATCCTGTTCCTGTGTGCTGACGGAAGCTTTATTGGGATTGGCAATCAGGTAAGGAGCATTTTTCATCTACTATTACTTGCAATGATCGAACTGTTTATAACTTACTTAAAAAGCGCCTTCGTGATCTTTTGATAGGGCACGATTCGTGCAATGGAGGGAGCCATAAATGCTTGCGTAGTCAGTTTTACTTATTGCATGCACAGGAGCTGTTTTCACAATCTTAGCCCATAAATTATGATTCCTATTAGGCGAGTAGAAATTGTTTGAAGTTTCCAGTCCTTTACTACGTGCTTAAGCTGGATATATACATGGAATAAAATAAAGGTGCACATGGCTGTATTTCGTTGTTTGAATTCGAAATTTGTCTTATTAAAATGGCATAGTAATAGAATTTCGCGTTGAATCAATGAATCGGGAGCGAAGCTTGAAGAGCGAAAAGGCTACATCTGCTTAAAATAACGTGCTGTTTTGTTAATGTTCTCACATACATGGAAATATGTAATCCGAATGTTAATGCGATGTTTAGTAAAGTGAAAGACAAATTCTTAATGTCAACGCGGCAGGTGCGGTTGTAAAACTATCAATATCAGTTTTCGAACAGAATATATTTTCAGCAAACAGCTGCCTAAAACAAGTTCGTAGCAGGAAGTAGTTTTTTCAAACACTACAAGTCAAAACATCGCGCCTAAGATAATCGCGTCACTAAGATCCACATAGTTAAATTCTCAAATTTTGTGAAGGATAACTTTTCAGTTTAAAAACAGAGCTTACCGAGCTGGTCGGATAAAGTAATATACCATATTAATTTAAATAATTAATACTGAAACCAATTTGCGAAAATCAATGATAAACAGATCGAATTACATAACTGCATTTATCGAGTCTATTACATACTGACAATAGCTGATTAGTTTATGGAATGCTCAAAGTTTACCGATAATAAAATAATTTTTTTGCCGGTTTCGACTTCTAATTGGCAATAACGTTTAAAATACTGTCTAACTTGCAGGATAATCTGCAAGAAGTCAAATCTTTTATATTGTATAATATATAAGACCTTGAAATGGAGGCAACAAAAATTTAATCCATTTCATAATACTTCTTACATTTAAAATTGTAAATTATCATTCAAAAATTTTAATTAGTTTTTTTTTCGATACTGACGTCCGCAGATGCGATCTTACAACTGTCTGGAATCATTTAAATCTTTATTGAGTATCATCGGATTGTTATAGAAGTTCGATAGTTGAATCGGCAAGAAATAAAAAATGTAGGAAACTAGGAAACCTGAATTTCAAAAAAGTTTACACTAACGCTTGCTAAAGTTCAAGCAGAATAGAAATATTTTTTTGTAAATCACCAATAATTTTAATGAGAACATTTGACTAGCTCACGAGATTTTACTTTATTAGCAATATTGAATTTTATAGATCAAAACTACTATTGTTATAGTGCACCTAAATGTAACACGAGGAAGTCGAAAAACGATAATATCCGGAAAATAGTTACATTTACACACAAACATTTTTCTGACACATATTATAATTAATTCTGATTATTGTGGTAGCTAAAGTTATTTGTGGTTTTGTTAAAATTCCTCTAATTTACATTAATATCCATCATTTGACCTGAAATTCGTAACGGTTATTAGGAACGCAACTAATAATAGAACACCTGTGAAGTTATTTACTATTTCCTTGTCGTCGTTATGTTACAATTATATAAGATAACAAATTCCTTTTAATTAATACGCAAATATTATCTTTGATGTTGCAAGAAAGCTAACTTCTGTAATTTTTAGGCAGAGAAGAAAGCTCTAAATGTGTGGGCATCGAGAAAATCGCACCTGTGAAAGAAACTCAAGAGGTCCAACCTTCCATCTAAATGAAGGACTTATAAGAAACATTTCGACTTGAATCTTTAAATATCTCAAGGTACGGAAGCATTTTTTAGATCTAACCACCATTTTTTAAATTTAAAGTCTATTAACATTGATATTAATTGACCTAAGTTAAGCAGTGCATAAATGTTATATTTTTATCAAAAATGTTATGACTTTGTGTAGGTTTTTGAAGTCTTATCTTAACTTAACTGGATAAAAACTAATAGTTTTTCGTTATATCTTGAACTGAATCAAGTTTTTCCCAAGGTCTGGAGTTATTTTCAAAGGTTTGAATGGTTTGGCTTGTAAAAGTAGGTGCATTTTTTTGGGTTAGGTAGTCTTTAAAACCTCTAGACCGATTAAAAAAAAATTAAACAGGGCTAAGCATAGCTGACTGTAATAAAGATGACTTTTCAATTAATAAAAAGTAACTTAGACTTTGAACTAAACTTTTCAAATGCAGTTTTGGTTGATAAAATTGTAAAAACTTAAGCATATTTTTTAACATCCACCTTTTTTAACGCCTAATTCTCAGGAAATGATATGATGCAGTAAAAGAGATTGAAATGTTAATAACGTTACACACAAGCTTTCAGAAGGTTCCACATTGTTCCTGATCTAAAACTTTAATGTGTGATCTCTCTTGCATGAAGCTTCCACGATAATTGCATAAAGTCATTTAATTATTCCAAATTAGGAGGGTTGGTGTTTCCGCACCAGATATAATTCCCACATGTAGACAATAATTTCGGTCTTATTTGATTAGTGTGGGGTAATTGGACAACTACTCTTAGAAAATGTATAAATTGGATTTTATCTAAGTCCAGGCGAGATACATGGTGTTAAAGACGACAGTAGCAATAAATGTCTTTGAAACCGGATGTTTTCTGTTAAAATGTCCGTCTTTAATCTTAGGATTATAACAGATTGTAGCCCTCACGATAATTTAGGTGCACTTAATTCAATGTTGAGCAAACCAGTATCATGTATATAGAATTGTAGGTATTTTAAATCCATATTTGTAATATTAAATGTACCTAATTCAATGCTTGTTTTTTAGGCCAAGCAGAGGATGAAAGTACTACATTGTATCGATGCGAGACAAAGCTGCAAATTATTCTTAAATTGGTTGGATCAAGAAATTTACCGGATTCTGAGTACTTTTTCTGGAGTTTGGTTAGTACCTATTACTTTAAAACTGACATGAATTGGATTTTTACTGTTTCCCTTCGAACTTACAAGTTTTTTGAAGATAAGAAATAATTAGGAAAGTTGTTCTTTTTTGCAGGATGAAAAATTTGACCTTCTGCGATGAATGGGAACAGCGCTCCACGTTAATGCTCTACATCTACCCTGTAGATCCGAATTTGTTTGATAATAGGCGACAAATTCGGTTCTAGAGAGGTTTGTGTGGTGCATACAAAGCAACGTGAGGTTTACCAAGAAAACAGATTAGGAACATTGTTTGATGCATATTACTAATCTTTGTAAAAAAGCGTATCAATGTAGTAATTACATCTGTTTGATAGTATTGTATTTGATTTTTTATCAACCAAATAGGTTATGTACAAGTAGATTTAGACTTCTCACTCGTATTTTTTCGTAAATTAAACTAAACTCTGATACGAAGCAGTTGTAAATATACGCATGGAGTATTGATGTTAAATATTTTTAGCAGTAAAAAGAAATATACACATTTGAAAAAAGTAGTTGTTAATTTAAAACGCAAAGAAAATTTCTAGACGCTCTAACACCGACATCCCTTCAAGTCACTCGGATGTCGAAAAGGGTCTGTGGAACTCACTATATGATGGATATAAAATGCTATATTAGCCGCAGAAAGATTACAATAAATGAAAATCTGTCGAGATTTAGTATGTAAATAGACAAAACTACACGTTACAATCACTGTTCATGTCTCGTTATATACATATAACGGTATATTATAAGTATGATAAAAGCTGAATTATACATTGAAAGATCTGAATAGTACCTACCGCTCAAATTATGTTACTAAAATACAATTTATTTTATTTTATTTTTTTTATTTTTTATTTATTTTATTTGATTTTATCTACCATCATTACATATTCTATATTATTACTTCTATATTCATATCTAAAGAATTTAAGGAAAATTAACTTATACTTAGACTAAAATTAGTGCAGATGGGCGGATAAAATAAAAGGCCAAAAACACCTAGATGTAGGAACATCTGTATGTGTTGATTTCA